CCCCAAAACCCCAAAACCCCAAAACCCCAAAACCCCAAAACCCCTAATAATAATTTTGACATTGATTATAATAATATAAAGTTATAATAATTAAATATGCTGGCCACAAGACCGATATTGAGGAAAATTAATAAGGCAGTTTCTACTGCTTCCGCCAGGAATTTTGGTATCATGCAGGAATATAACGAAAGAAAAAACAAGAAGCTCATAAATAATATTGCTGTTACCGAAGAACCAAGATTCTGGCTTACTTCTTCTAGACCATCAAATTTTGGAGACCATTTGGACACAAAGACCAAAGTTGACAACTGGTTTGATGAAAACAGATTGTGGAATGAAGAGAACAAGGATTACGAAATTAAAAGAGCTCAGATCTACATGCTCCAAGGATTCATCATGTCTTCATACTGTCTTGGAATCAAGGGTATTGCAACCGTCGTGTACAATCAAATGATCACAAGAGTTAGATATATCAGAGACTCATACAAAGAACTAAATATTAAAGAACTTCCTCCTGGTGAAGTGCTCCAGACTTCTTGGAATGGAGAATTAATCTTTGTCAGAAGACTGACTCCTTCTGAAGTGACTCAATCTGAAGCTGCTAAGCCAAGTGAGATTTTAGATAAAGAATCCAAGCCATTCTTATCGCCAGCTACTTCCCAGAACTCTACTATCTTGGTGTGCTCAGCTATTTGCACTCATTTGGGTTGTATTCCAGTTCCATACCTTGGAGCTCACAAGGGATGGGTATGTTTGTGCCATGGATCAGTCTTTGATAAATACGGAAGAGTTAGACAGGGACCAGCACAAAGAAATCTCCCAGGTATTAATAACACTGAGTATGATGGTATTCTCTGCATTGAAGAAATGGTCTTCCCGAACGAGCCAGAAGGATTCTTGTATGTTTAATCCTACGATGTTTATGGAGTAAAAGAACTATAATTTCAAGCATTATCATTGATTAAGGGGTTTTGGGGTTTTGGGGTTTTGGGGTTTTGGGGTTTTGGGG